GGACACTCCTCCCCCCCCCTTGTTTTTTTTTTTTTTTTTTTTTTGCCTAATGCCTCCATCCTGACTTAGCGGAGAGTTTTCCGGGACACTGGAGTCCCACAGATCATATTTCTCTCATCTACGGCCAGGGTTATGAGGATTTCTGCCTCACTGTTTATTTGAATAATTCTTACTACCCATTTTTTAAAATAACAAAGCACAGGGATTATTTTCTAAAAATAAAGACCAAAACAAAACAACCCTCTCCATAAATGTTCTTTACAACTATAACTCAGCCTTTGATGACATTTTTAAAATGTAATTTTAAGTGTCTGTTATTTTTTTCCCCCCACATCTCTTGAAAGTTTATACTTCGGGGGAAGATTGCAAAGGAAATTGAAAAGCTTCCTTGTTGCCAAACTAAATCAAAGGCAGAACTGTGTTTTGCTTTTTTGTTTTGTTTTGCTTTTTTTGTTTAAACCAGCAAATGCAAATAGCAGCCATTCAGGCACCTGGGGTGATGGACAGAGAAGGGAAATTAGAGTAAATTGGGTCTCCCTCCTACTTTCTAGCTCTTTCTCTGATCAGAACAACTTTATTTTACTTGAAGTTCAATCTCTTTTCTGCAAAATGGGAGTAATATGTCACAACCGAGGAAGAATAAACACATCAGTCCACCATGTAGTCTTTGGCTCTTGGTAGATAGTTAATCTTGCTTCTTCATGTCCTTGTCCTTATGTGACCTGGAAGACAGGATTCAAGAAAGGACTGAAGGAGGGGATAGTAGCATGACCAGATCCCAGGGAGGTGCTTCTCTCTCTCTCTCTCATGAATAAAGGGAAAACAATCTTTAAAACAGAAGTCCATAGATAATGTAAAATACAAAGATCCAGAAACATACTCACATCAATTAAGAACTGATTCATGGTATAGGTTGTTCTGAGAATCAGTGGAGACACACGGGTTGGGCAATAAATGGAGCTGTGATAATCACTTGAGTAGTCAGAGAAGATAGTCATGTCTGCCCTCCACACAACACCAAAGTAAAACTCAGAGATCATGAAGTGAGTGAGTTTGTCTTATGTCAGTTTGAGAATTAACCTGTTAATCTATTAATTAAGGCAAGGCAAGGAATCACATAAGAAAAGTAAAACTTGCACGTTAAAAAATATGAAAAATATTAAAGGCAAAGTGGAAATGGAAAAGGAAAGGAAGTCCAGAGACTTGGACTCAGGGACTGTTGCCCTATCCCACCCACCCTTGTCCAAATTACCAAACGACTGTGGACCTCGAGCTTGGATGGAGGAGGAATCATGGGATTTTTCAGAATCAAAGGAAGCCAATACCTGAAGGCTCCTCAGAGACCGTCTAGCCCAATCCCTCACCTCAGAAAGAAGGTCTAGAAAGAAACATTTTGCTGCCCTCGACATCAAGGCTATATGAAGATCTTCAGGAGACGTTCCCAACTTGCTCCATTGTCCGGGGTGACCTGAGCCCTGGCGCATCTTGTCAGTAGTTCTGAGAGCCCGTGACAGGCTAAGGAGGCGCTATGGCTGTGGCAGGCAGCACCGCTGTTGACAGAGGAACTGAGCCAGCAATTAGGTCATCTCAAAGGCTAAGTGCTTAGGTGAACGCCAAATGGGAAACGGGCTCAATATGGACGTGACTACTTCAGGGTAGTCACGGGAGGAACCTCAGAGGAGGAGACACTGGAAGGAGACCTGGAGGATAGGAAGAAGCACACCGTGCAGCGGACTCAGGGCAGGTGGTCCTGTGTGCATGCTGCTTGCTCTGTGACGAGGTCCCCAAAGTGAGCTGTGACATGGCCTCTGATGCTAGGGCTGTGCTGCCCAATAAAATGTTCTGCAGTGATGGAAACGGTCTGGCAATCGTGCTGTGACAAGGGGTGGTCACTAGTCACATGTGCCTGAGGAGCTCATGGAATGTGGCTCTTGCAACATTAACTTTGATGAACCAGACATGGTATTTAAATACTCACATGGCTGGTGGTGATCACATCAGGCATCACGGAATTGCTCCAAGGACTCGCAAACTCGTAGGGGAAGTACTTAAGCTCAGCGTAAAGGATGGTAGAGCCCTGAGTCGAGGCACAATCAGGATGTGAGAGATCTAGTGAGAAAGCGATGAATTCTAACTGTAAAAACCCATGACGAATCACTTAAGTTAAGCTGGGGTTTAGTGAAAGCTGAGCTTGGATTTTGCTTGGCAGAGTTCGAGGGTGTTCCAGGCAGAAGGGACAGAGGGAGCCAATGCTAGGAGGGAGAAGACACCTACATTTTGGAGATGTTAGAACACCTGCTGAGTGAAGCTAAGTGCCAGGCTCATTGCTTGGCCGTTTTCTGTACAGTTGATCTTACCCGCTCCATGGCATGAGAATTACGAATGTCATCCCCATTGTGCAGCAGGGATGCTGAAGCTTCGAGGACTTAGGAACCTGTGAGCAGGGGTGGTGCAGGGGCCTCAGCTCAGGTCTGTCTGATTCTGAACCTTGTGCTTTGGGGCCCACACTACAAGCAGAACTCAAACCATGTCACTTGCAGTCGGAGGACTGGCAAAACAATAAAAATTCTACTTAAAAAGCTAGCAGGGTTTTTCAAAGGCATGTTGAATTCCTAATAAAGAAAGGCTACAGTAAACGGGAAAGGGAGAGGTGTGTGGTAGGGAGGCGTAAGGAGGGTTGAGGCTGCTCATTCTGGAGACAAAGGTTGGTTACACAGAGCAAGGGGAGACTCCGCAGCTGTCACTTTGAAGACAGAACTGGGGTAGTCTGGGCACCAGGAAGACGGACATCACATCCGGCCCTGAGTTTCTCAATCCTGCTTATCCACGCTGCGACCTTCTGTGGGTATTTGATGGCACAAAGTGGCAAGTGCTGAGAAATGTGTAGAGGGGCCGACAATGGGGCTTGGGCATTGCACCGGCCACATTGGTCTCCTCTGGGCTCGCATGACCTCGGTTTCTGCAGCAGAGCAGGCAGTGGGCGGTAGATGAGCTAATGCAGCTAAAGCATGTGGCACAGTGTGAGTGAGGGGGCTTCAAAGAGCTCACAGGAAATGTGTGTTAGGAAAGCAGCATGAACTTTGTTTTTAGGGGGGGGTTGTTGTTGTTTTTTTGTCACTAACTTGAGTTTAAACTTTTGGTAGTGCCCTACAGTTAGAGCTCAATAAATACTTGCTGGTAATAACAAAAACATGAATGTCTGCAGGTTTTCACACTCCCAAGCTGCGATGGGTGATGTGTGCTTGTCCAGCTCTGCTGGGTTTGAGGCCACGGCCTTGGCTGGCTCCAAACTCTTCGTGCAGAGGCACATCTGGAAGTTCCATGTCATGGAAAAGCACCTCATCTCGGACCACACACTGCCCCCCACACAACCGGAGATAATTCACCAAACCTTCCTATGCGATCAGTGGACCCTGTTCTACTCTGCAATGTTCTGAGGTCTTTTAAAAAATGTTCTGCCTTTCCTCAGGCCAAGATTCTACCACAAGAAGTCAGAAAAGCTTTGAGCCAACTGGGTTCGAAAACACGCTGTCCGGATTATACAGCCCCGCCGTGTTCTCAGCCGCAGGAGCCAATCTGACCGACGTCCATCTCTTCTGTGTTCTTGCATGTGACCATGATGTGTGCTGTGATGGCTTTGTCCTCTCACAGTTCCCAGGAGGTAATGCTGCTGCTGAGGACCGAGGCCCACATAGGGATGCAAAAGCCAGACATATAACAATAGGCCTTGGAAGCTGAGGGAGGAGAGATCAGCCCTGCCCTCCACCTGTCCATCTGGTGCCAGCCACCTCACAGCATAGCACTGGTCTACTCCTCACTGCTTCCTCTGGCAGGGGTTATGGTCTTCATTACGCGGACCAAGAAATTGATACTCAGAGAATTTTCGTTATTTGTTCATGGGCAGACAACTGGAAAATAATAGATGAGAGCATGAAGCAGAGAGACCCATATGTTTTGAAGACTATTAATCAAGGGCTAGGCCCTTGTGGTTAAACCTAGTGGTTACGGGAGCTGGACTCCACATGGCCAACCACGGTTTGAATCCTAGTCCTGGCAGCTTGACAAAATGTACTGGGTGTATATGCGTGTGTGTCCAGAATCCTGACGGGATAGAGAAATGCAGGAGAGGAGACTGGAATGACTAAGCCCCAGTGGGGGTACTCTCTCCCTCTGTCTCTCTGGTGAGTATATGCATCCTAAGGCAATTTAATAAAAAATATTAATTGACACATCGGGCTTATCAGTAAATAGGTATTTCTCAAGGGCCTCCATGTCTAACCTTCAGAGTTCTGGTCAATTCTAGCCTCAATGCCTCGCCTCTTCCAGGCTTGGAGGTGAGAGAGTCTCTCCGTCTGAGAAGGACTAACCCTGCCTTCTAGGTGCCAGAGCTCATTGCCTCCACTTTCTCTGACTTTGCCCCTTCCTTCCTTCCTGTTCCCCACCTGTCACCAGCACAACGCCCTCACTGGCTCCCCACTCTCAGGCATGTGTAATGGTCTCAGCCTGTTTTTCCCTTCTGAAAAGCCTGAGGGAGCTTGACACACAGAGCCCATGACCTCCTATTTCCACTCTGCCTCTGTCTTGTCTCTCTCCACCCCTACCCCAGCAAGCCCCTGCAATCTCAGACTCCATGTCACCCCGAGCTGCTCCCAGCCCGCTTGCTGGTCACCTGGGGCGTCTCCTAGCTCTCAGCTTGGTGGTCCTTAGCAGTTGGGCCAGTAGGCTGCTCCTCAGTCCTCACAACTCTCCTCTTTTCTTCCAGGCCCCGCCTCTCTTACTCTTTAGACTACTCTTGCTGGTCGTGGTCACCCGCAGCTTCTGGACACATCTGCAAAGGGACAGAGGAGGAGCTGCCAGGCAGGGAGAAAGAGACCCAGGAAGCATCACTCAGGGAAACAGGCAGGGGAGGTCTGGCAATGAAGGCAGCATCGACACTGAAATGCTGCAGGAGTTCAAGCCGGGTGGTTACTGAGGATGCCGAGTTCAGCCCGCAGTGGTCTGCGGTGGCTGGAGTGAGGTTGTTCAGTTGGAGTGGCAGGGCAGAAACCCAGACTGGAGCAAGACGATCCCTAAATTCCTTGTAGGCTTAATGCGCAATGATATATGATGTACACTCATGGTAGATAAGCAAGCATGTGTCTTATACACACAGACACACACCAGTGCATGCACACACATGTGTATACACACCTATACATGCCTTTATGTTGCCTATATTTAGAAACACTGTGATTCAAATCTGTAAGGCCTTCTTTGAATCAGATGTATTTTCTGAGGATACCATGATTTCTCCACATGCTCAATTACTCACCAGACCACATGATTTTTCAAGTCGAAAAGTCAATTTTCTCTTCCTAAGGATCATATATGGAAGAATTGTTTTGTTCCATGCAGCAGTAAGCCCTTCGAAGCCTTTTTTCCATGACATTCTGCTCTGGCTAGCAGCTTGCTGGCTTTCCCTCCGCATTTAACCTGTGATCTGTGAATTATGCTGCGCGGAAAACTGCCTTGCAGCACTGAAAGCTAAGCCCTCTTCAAGACACACAGAAGGTCTTGGGCAGACGTCTTTCCCAGCCCTGGAGTTTTAATTTATAAAGCTTTGGCTGGCTCTGCTGCCAACCAGGAACAGAATCCCACTACATCTTTTGACCACAGTCTGGAAAGGTTTAACTTTCTGGTAGATTCCTTGTCCCTCCCTCTCCCCTCCCCCTCCCCACCTTCTTTCCTAGCTAATCTCCAGCCACTTCTAACCTTCAACCCCCAAAGCTTTGTTTCCACTGATGGTTACTGCTGCAAATTCATTCAGGAAGTTTCTGAACCTATGTTTTACTGGAGGGCCCTTGGAGGTGGGGCTTGGGGGCACTTGCGTGGTCTCAGGGTCATGTGAGTGAAACTGAAGCAGCAGTTTGTGGTCAGCTGAGTGATTTCTGGCTGCTAGCTGACCCTAGCTCTGTAAGACTCACAGTTCTCACTGATGCTTTAGCAGTGAAGATGAAAGCTGCATGGTTTCCCTA